CTTTTCCTTTTTGACTTTCTAATTCTAGGTCTTTACACACTTCACTCTAATACTCTATATTTTTCCTGAGCTGCCCCTTGAGATTTCTGTTCAGCTATTTCATCATTCTTTCCATTTACTTTAGCTACTCTACAGTCAAGATCAAGTTTCAAATGTGTTTTGACATCAACTTCTTTCTTTTCTTCCCTGTCTTTTTAATGACATTTTGCTTTATTCATATACGATGTTCTTGATGTCATCCCACAACTCCTCAGATCTTAGATCATTAATATTCAATGTATCAAATCTGGCCTTAAGATGTTCCCTACCTTTAGCTGAGGTATATTTCTGGTCATATCTTGACTCTGGTGAACTTCAGCTTCAGCCTGAATTACATGTAACTACTTGGCTTCCTTGTATGCGGGTAGATATTATCCTATCACAGGCAGCATTGTCCTTTAAGATAATGTTGAAATGTTCTCTTTGACAATACATTTTTCATTCCAAGCATAGTAAGCCATGGGATGTCTTGCCTTATTAGGTCTTGTTATAGAAAATACCATGTTGTGATAACCTAAGTTTGTTAACTTCCCACCTGTCATTGATTTATGTTCATGACTACCCACAAAATAGTATACTCCTCCTTCTTTGTCACCCCCTTTAAGATACCCCCAAACCCTCACCATTTTGAAATGCTGGTTCTTATTTTTTGGAATTCAATTTCTCCTTGCTAAAGTTGTCACTTTAGGTTGTTGACAAACAGTCAACAGAAAGACAGGCCACCTTGCCATGTTTGCACTGCCCGTGGAAGGGGGGGAAATGCGGTGCAGCAGCAGTGAGGGGCAGTGGGTACAACTCCAGCTCGTGCACAGGCTCAATCTCAGGCTTCCGATTGGCTGCTGGCAGAGGCCCTGGAGGCTGGCTCTGGGCTTTCACTGGGTTAATGGTCCAAAAGCACGACCACCTCAACTTTCCATATAAACAACCCTCTGGAGGCAGGGGTTCCCAGCAAAGACTGGCTGGAAGTGGCATTGGGTAGCCTGCCCCCACCCCCATGCCCCCCACATGAGCTGCTGGGTCCCAGGCACTGAGGCTCCAGCTCAGTGGGGGTGGTCCTGGGCCAGGCCATTCCTCATTTTGGTGCAGCCATGCACCCCCATCCCCATGGAGGAGGTGCCACCACCAGCCTGGCCACCTCTGTCCCAGAAATAAATAAAAATATGGGTGACAAAAAAAGGGTGGCAGGGAACTTGTTCCCTGTACCAAGCTGCCATCAGGCAGCCATCCCCTGTGGGGGAGACACACACCCATCCTCAGAGACTGTGCAGAGGGGCTGGTGAGACACCCCTGCTACCCTCCAAAGGCGCCATCTACCCCCAGCAATGCCCACGTCCGGGGCCAAAGTGAGACGGTGCAGACCCCACCCATGCCACCCTCCACCCCCAACCCCGGAGAACCACAGGGGCATCTGGCTCAGACCAGACCACTGCACACAAGACAGGATTCAAGTACCAGGCGGCAGCCAGGCGGCCCAGGCTCGCAGTATGTGCCACCTCTCTAGTCCCTCCTGGGGACTTGTGCGGTCGGCCTGGCTGCGAAGGCCGGAGAGTGTGGGTGAGGCTGCCCAGTCCTTGGTCGGCCCCCAGTGCGTGGCTAGAATTAGCTCTGCAATAGACGGTGTGTACCGCTACTACTCATCTTAGGGGTAAAGTGGGGCCAAAGCACCCACACTGAGGGGCTCTTCTCTCAGGTGACGGAGCTGGGGTCACCCTGTGGTGGGGTGCAATGGTCCCACTTTTGGGCATAGTCATCTTGTAAGGGGCGGGGGTCGAGTTTCCTTTTACTTTAACATTAGGAGATTAAGTATTCATTATTATTGGTCAATATTGACTCAAAAATCTTTTTTATAAAGTTAAACTACAGAGCTTTAAAATAACAGCTAAACTGCAGTGAGTTTCTTCTTATGTTGAAAAAACAGAAATACTGAAACAATTCGGTTTAAAATTTTAATATGGATATCTATTGAAGATTAAAAATTTAAAATATCCATAAGAAATAAGAGCTTAAATAAATCTTCCACTCAGCAGGAGAAAATTAAAAGACTAATAATTCTCCCTCTACCAACAAGAGACGAAAGTAGCAATGTGGAGCAAAAGTAAACCTTCAACACAAAATAAAATCGTAGAATAAGCGGGAACAGTTAGGAGACAAACGGCAGCGACAGAGATCATAACCCTGGGGAAATCCTTTCAGCCCTTTTCCTTCCTTTTTCTCCCAAAACTTGACTGTCTCCTGACAATAAGAAATATTTACAAAACTAAAATAGATCAAATATCATCCTTCTTTCACACAACTTGGTAATCAAGTCTGTGTGCAAAGTTGTTTGTTTTTCAGTTTCTATATTGTTGACATAATAAACTTCAAAAGCATACAATATGTTCACCATGAGCTCTGATGACTTTTTAAAAAATTTTTATTTTATTGGGGACTTTCAGAACTTTTTTTTTTAAGCAAAAGGGTAGAAATTTATTGGCGCCCATATGGGAAACCCTAGAGGAGCCCAGCATCCCCTATTGTGTTGGCATGCCCAGCAAAGGGTCACCCCCTTCACTGTACCCCCATGTCCCAGAGGGACTCCCCTTGAGCTGAGCCCCAAATCCCCAGGACTAGCTGGGGGTGGGGACATTTTGCAGCTCTTATCACCATCCACACATATATCTATTGTGTCAAACACATCTGGACATATGCTGCCATCATCTTTTTCAAAACATTTTCTTTCTACTTGAACCCTTGGTATCAGCACCTCATTTTTTTCCTCCCCAAACTTCCCCCATGAACCCTTGATAATTTATAAATTATTCTTAATTTCTTTTATGTCTTACACTGACTGCTGTCTCCCTTCACCCACCTTTCTGTTGTCCATCCCCCTGGGAGGGGGGCCACGTCAATTATTGTGATCAGTTCCCCCTACCTCCCCCCCACTTCCCTTTATCCTCCTAGTACTGCTACTCCCCTTTATTGGTCTTGAGGGGTTTATCTGTCCTGGATACTGTCATTTAAAAGGTACTATTCTAAAATGCTGATACAATAGAGAGCTTTATTTCCTACCTTCTTCATGACCACTTTGGTCCTGTCGAGGTATAAATCCCAGTGGAGGAACATCTCTTGCTTTTGTGTGAGTCCAGGACACTTGTCCAGCAGACACTTCTGATGCCCATTCGCACATGCCCAATTCAAATTCACAGGCCTGACACACTATCAAAGGGGAGAAAAGGGTCTTTGAAAAATCTCAGTGGCTTATCATAGTCTTATAGAGTGATTTTTTTTAAAGAGTTCTTGTTTGAAACAACCAAGAGGCACACACACTCACACATACACAGCTACCTATGCGGAAATTTAGATCCCCAAACGTGATAATATGGCAGCCACACCATTTTTCAAAAGTTCCTCAATTGGTCTATATGAACAGCCCCCAAATGAGATCCACTGACTTAAAAAAAAGGAGGGGTTCACCATTTTTCCATACCCTGACTTTCATTTCAATTATTTTTAAATAACATAAAGTCAAGTCTTTTCTACTTTACTAAATTTTACTTAGTAGTAGATATGTATGCATACATACATTATTTATTTTAGCTTTTTGTTATTATTTAGGTGAAAGGTTACATAACACATTGGTTGCCCAGTAAGCAATTCATACACATTTTGTTTTGTGCCATTGATTGTAATCCCCACAATGTAGCAGCCTTTCTGCCTCCCTGCCACAACCCCCACACCCCTGTTCAATTTCAAGTTTCCATTCATCCTTCTTTCCAATCCCATCTTGCCTTCTACCTTTTATCCCTTCTTGCCTTCTACCTTTTATCCCTTCTTGCCTTCTACCTTTTATCTTTTGATATCATTTGATTACTTGTTTTAAGGGGCGTGTGCTATCCTGGTGTAATAACACCTTTGAGACTTGTCTATCGATTTGGCTGAAAGTTTAGCCACAGGGTGATTCTGTTTCAGACTTAAAAGATGAAGTAAGCACTAGTCTCAGAAGGTCCCCCAGTCTCTATCAAACCAGTAAGCCG